ACACATGACATTCGTCACAGTACAGGTGTTTCCCTGTTTGGTTCCAAATATCAGAAAGCTCAGCAGATCCAAACTGCAAAACCTTGTTTATAATGCCACAGTTAATGTATTTACAACAAATTACAAACACACAAAAGTGACACTTTTATGAAGAGAACATTGTGAGATTTTGGAGAAAAACAGAAGTTAAATGGAGACAAACATGATTATTTTACACCTTTTTATAAATTCTGTTGAAGTCAGAGAACAGGGAGTCACAGCTGCTGTGTTGACTTGGAGCACAACACAATAAATGTGTGACAGATGTTTGTTAAAGTATGATGAACTGTAATCAGCTGTCCTCCAATCAAATCCTTCATTTCAACTCCAAATGGTTTGTGTTGCTTTTTTTCTTTAAGCGTTTATTTTTCTTGGCCACTCTTCTGTAGAACAGCTCTGTGCAGCTCGTACTATGGACAGATCCTCCCAACTGATCTTTTATAGATTTTACAAATGTTTTAAACAAGTTTTTTATTTTCATTTAACTTCACTAGACCTATAATCATTTTGAAAATCMATTTAAACTAAACAAAGTGGAAAAAGTAGCAATGAAGGTGAATATCATTTAAAAACACAACTGTAAAATGTTTCTTTAAGAATCAGATTTATAAGAGATGTTATTTCATTTTATTTTATTTATTTCATCAGCATTAACAGAGGCTCTTTTATGTCACAGTTTAAGTGTTTTTGTGTTGAATCTGATCCAACGTGTCCTCGGCTGCACTTTGACACTTTGGGTGTTAAAAGAACTGGAGAGGTGATAATTAAACACTGCGGAAGAGAGCTTTTCARCCATCTATACGATCTCATTCTGCTGAGTCCAGGATAAATAATCCAGGCCAGATTTATCCTGACATGGCCTTTCTTCTGATAAGCAGCWGAGAGAAACCCAATCAGTTTGAATATCTGAGGAAAACAACGAGCAGCAGCACTTATTTGGTCAAATATCAGTTTAGTGGGAGGCGACATGAAGTGTGAGCCAAGAAGAAATTAAAGGCACTAAGCTTTATTCTGGGTGGATTACTACTGCCTGGTGTAAAACAACTGATTTCACACACATTTACTGAAAGTTTAAAAATTAAGTTCTTCATTTGAATCAAAAATTATGTGTAAAATTTAGAACTTTTAACTCGAGATAAAGTGAATACTTTGTATCAGTTGTATTACAGTTTATTAACCTGACACCTGTGTCTTTCACTCCCTGACGGCCCTGTGAAGAGGCAACATTACAAACACAATAATAACTAGAAGCACTCGGAGAGTGCAAACCTCCGCCAAGACCAATTTGGTGCAGTCACGCACTTCCTGGTCACAAAACGTCCTGTAAATGTGCATATTATGGCAACAATTATTCATCATTAAATGTGGTTTTAACATTACTTTTATAAAGTTTGAAGTCCGTGCTGTCCAATCCAGCTCACTGTTTTTTACAGAAGCCCTGTGAAAGCATCACAGCTTTGCCGATGTCAGAGTACTAAAAGAAAAAAAATTCCTGTATCTGCATCGTGATCCAGAACATCACCAAAATTTAAAGGTGTGTTCCTTGGACCAGTACCCACATGTGGTAAAAATGTCTTGACAATCTGTACACAAATTTTTGAGTAATGTTGTCCACAGGCAGACAGACAGACAGACACAACCGAAAACATTGCCTCGCCCTTGGTGGAGGTAATAACGATAGCGTGCTTCGGTGCTTATGAAGTCGTACCGTTAATGAAAAAAGGAGAAGGGGTTATCTGAGGAATCAAAGTGGGCGTGTCACAAGAGTGGGCGTGTCCAAACCATAAACACTGTGGACTACGAGGCCTACATGACAGTATCCTTAGACCCTGCTTGACCTCTTCACAGCCTGACCCTGACCCCAACACTGAGGTTAACCAGGAGAAAGGTGACCCAAGTAGGGTTCTCCAGAAAAAGTGGTGCCGTACAGTAACGCCCCTTTTTTTGCTTGTCCAGTCAGGTGTGTCCCTTTTAAAAAGTCCGTCAAATCAGGTGTGTGGCTTCAGAATCGCCTTTCGTTGTGACACGCCCACTCATCCACAAAGACCCCTACTTGGAAAAAAAGACACAAATATGGACAGAAGCACAATAAAGGAGGGAGAGAAGGATATTATAAAACACAGATAAGAAAATAAAACAGAGATTAATGTTAGACAGCTGTGGTAAATGATCCAGTTTGGCTGTGTGTATTTACTGGTTTCTCTTCAAGTCTAATTGTTGGCTGTGGCATCATAGAAACATACGGAGGTAATGAACACAACGTACAGACTTTCAATAGTTCAACCTCAGCGAGGCTGCTGATTGAGCTGAAGAAGAGTAAACCCTGCTGAACGCCACGTCAGTGTTTCCATTCAGGAAGAGAGGGGGATTTAAAGTGTGTCTGCTGTGGAGAGGCAGATTTTAAAGGACAAGCAGGAAAATTCAGCRTAAACACGCAGCCAGCTCCGGCTCGATTATCTTTATGAGGATATATTAGATTGGATGTGTGTGTGGAGTCGGTCCTGAGCGCACTTCTCWGCAGGCCACACGAAGGCCAAGCCCGAGAAGCCGAGCTGGATTCTTCAAGGGTCTAATAAACACCAGATGTTCTCGAGCTAATGTATACACAGACCCGGTGCCGTGTCCATCTCCCCGGCAGGAAAAACACGTCCAGGCAACATCTGAAGGATCTACGGCAGGAGGAGGAGGACGATGCCGTCACCTTCAGAAACAGCTTCATTCTGGGAGGGGTTGATGAAAGCTCAGGCCAAGCTTCACATCTAACAAACGACCCCCTCACTGTCTACAATTAAAACCAACTAAAACTGATTTTTTTAATACAACAAACAGGTTCCCATATTGTGTTTCTCCTTGCTGCCTTATCTGCGACAGACTCCTAGAAACTGATAGGGCCTGGTTGGACCTCTGGGTTCTGTACTCCTGCACACTTGTGTGTTTTATCTGAAGGCTGGAGCCACTGGGAAATGGCAAACGGTGCCAGAGATATCGTTCTACAAATCCCTGGTCTGCAGTGCAAGCAGCCCCCTATCCCCCTGTTGTTTCTACCGGAAAGGGACCAAAAAAAAAAAAAAAGGCCAACTGGCATTTCTCACTGCTSTTTGCTAATATCACAGAAAAAGATGGATGACAGCTCATGTCTCAATCTGCTTTCCTATGAATATTTAAAATGTCTTTTTTGTGTGTTGGCAGTCAGTGCTAAACAAAGTGTCCACCAACACTGCAGAGCTTCTCTGGACTGCAGAACGTAGGAGAACATAAATCCCGGCAGCAGCAGTAAGGATTTAGGAGAGCGTCTCGAAGCACTCAGGTCTGCGTGTTCTCATCACTCTGACTTATGTGACATTAAAAGAACAAAGCTCTGTAAACGGCAGCTCGTGCTCTGCAGTGTCGCGCTTGATGCAGTGCTGAGCTGTAAACAGGTCGGATCTGAGTGAGTCTGGACCAATCAGTGGCTGAGAGTGTCTTCCAGCAGCAGAACATTCCTGAGCGGTCACCCTGCAGACCGTTAGCCTGCTGGTCTCTGCTCTGCCTGCAGGGTGCACACATCCACCTGCTGTCACTGGATCCAGCTATTAGTGAGGAGATGTGGACTCATCCACCTCCACAATCTGGATCTGCTTTGCATACTGTCTGTTTTATTTCCAAAAGTTAAAAATTTATCTCTCTGAATTCTGCAGTGGAAATGTTTTTGATCAAACACACACCAGTTGGACTCAGATTGTTAACAGAGATGTGTGGAAAAGTAAAGGAACAGTAGCAGTTGTAGGAGAATCAGGTTCTGTCCTGGAGTTAGTGTTTGATATCTGTTTACATTATACACTCATAAAAGTGTAGTGACTTGCACAAGTACTAATCTCCATGGTTTTCTTCTTATATTGTAGTCTTTTAATTTGAACTGGAATTAAAGAATGGACCTACACAAAGTATCCACTTCATCCTGACAACAGATTCAACAGTAAAGCACGGTGGTGGCAGMAAAATGCTGTGGGCATGTTTTAAATCAGCAGAGACAGGGTAACAGGTCAAAGTTAAAGAAAAGGTGGAAGTTGAGAAATTACTGAGAGGAACTTATTGAAGATGAAGTTTTGCCTTCCAGCAGGACAATGACTCCAAACACACTGCTGATGCAACACTCCAGGGGTCTCAGAAGAACAAGTTAAATGTCCTGAAATGGTTCAGATAAAGCCCAGTCTTTAAAGACTGTTGGACACTGTTTTTTTTTGTTCTGCTCTCGATAGAGTAAAACACTTTTTCCTTCTCTCCTATATATATATATACAGTATATATATATACAGTATATATATATAC